CATCTCTCTTATCTACCCAGGAAGAGGAGAGGAAGACAGAGGTGTTGAATGGCAGAGCTGGAAGTCCCTGCTGGAAGCGATCATTAGTAACGGCGATTTGCTGTCACTGTTACTGAGCCCCAGTGGTCCCTGTATGCCAGATGCTTCCACAGTAGCATCTGCAGAAGGCACCGTGCTTCTCCACAGTTCATCACTGATGAACACACTGAGAGTTTTCACTGTAAAGGGATCCCACTAATATTTGTGCAGGATACCTCTACTGGGCATGGAGACTCTGAGGTAGAAGTGATGATACAGATGCGAAAGGTCAGTTGGAGTTCTACCATTTACCACAAGAAAAGTACCAAGATCGGTGCAGGTACGGCTTGTTAAAGAAAAGCCTGAATTTTATGGGACTAATCCCACACTGGAAAACTATTTGGTGATACATCCTGAGATGGACTCCTCTGTTATCAGTAAAAGCAACACAGCTCGATAGCAGTAGAGGAACTAGCCCTTCCATTTCTGTATCCTGTAACACCTCTACAGAGAGAAAGAGAAAATAAGCACTAGGTATTTCTGTAAGACGCTTTCTTTTCCAGCAAGTTTTACTTTCTCTTGTGACATGTGTCTCTCCTGCCATAAAGAATTGAAATCCTGAAAAGCATGAGTCTCTGTTAGGTAATTAACTTTCACATCAATAGAAGGGATCTGGAAGCTAGCACAGGCCTGGTAGAAAATGCAAAGTGATTTTTACTTAACAAAGAAGTGTGAATGACTGAATATGTGACAATAGGAATAGTCAACCAAGGACAGGGAAAGCATTACAGCCTGATAAAGGCAGAACAATCCATCACAACAATACTATCTTTAATTCTCGTTAATGCTGTGCTGCAATGTTTGAGTTATATTTTGATTTTGTTATCTGCTCATACATAAAACTAAGGAGTCTTAGCTGGCTAGAAAAACATCACGCAAGCGTATTTAAGCCTTCTGTCCCATCTAAGCAATGTCAGGGAGAGACTGGGACTCTTACTGCAGAGTACACCTGGAACTTCTTGGACCTTAGGGCCGCTTATGTCCTCATCATTTTTGCAGGAGTAAGATTTTTTTAGGTGAAGAATGGGTTTATAAATAGTGTACAGAAGCTAATAAATGATTTATAGGTATTTTGATAATTATTTTAGACAGTTAGAGAAGTAAAGGGGCTGCTTGTAACTGTGGCCTGTAATCATCAAAGCCACTTTATTTTGGCTGTGTTTAATTGCACTTCAGTATCAGTGTGTTGCAGACATGCTAACATTTATTAATGATTTATTAACCTGATAGAAACCATCTGTACATGCAAGCTTTGTGCAGAGTGAGGCCATTTCTTCTCATACTTCTGCTTTCCTTCTCCTGCTGAGAGAGGTCTGCTTGAGGCAGCTGGCACAGCTGATGGGGAAGAAGCAGTGTTTCTTCTGTGTACTACACTGAGCTTAGAGCTAAGGGGAGGACTTCATTTTTCTTGTCATGCCAGTAACTTAACCCTTTGCAGCTTTACTGTTCCTGAAATAATAAAGCCAGTCTGGAGCCAAAGAAAGCCCTTCTCAACTCTCAGGAAAGCACAAGGATGAAATAAGCTTGCTCTTTCCCAAGCTAGCAAGCTAATGTTTTCTGCTAGTGTCTTTCCCCAGCTGGAAGAGCAGAGGCACCTCCTGCAAATAAAACTCTGTCCTGGAGGTTATAAAAATGATGCTCCACACCAGACTCCATAATGAAGATCTGTTGCAGTAGTATTGACCAAGGGAAAGTGAGACCAGGAGATGACCCCTTGGTTTTCTGCATGGAATTTGCCAAAGCAAAATTCATTGTCATGCTCCAGTGAGAATCTGCCCTTTCTAAACTTGGATTTCATAACAAAACCTGTAAAAATTACATAACCCTCTTTTTAACTCCTATCCTGCTCCTCTGCAATCTAGTGAATAAAATGTCACCATGTATGCAAAACTATGCTACTATTCAGGAGCAGAAAGATACTCGTGTCACATCTGTAACAGGGCAGGAGACTCTTCCAGGTTCTTCCCCTACCCATCTCACTTTTGTTTATGTGCCTTCAGTAATGTGTAAGAATTAAGTCAATAGGCAAGGTAGCTCTTACAAGGTAGAGCCCTGCAGATTATTTTTTTGGCCAAACTGCAGCTAGATCTTGAATCACCGTTTGACTTCAGTGAGAACATAGGGGATGAGTTGTTACAGATGGGCTGTTTTACTGCTGCTGAGTGTTCCTCGGTCCTACCAATTGCCACCAGCACTTTAGGACACTCAGCATCTTTTCATGTCAAGGACCAGTGGAGGAAATCCTAGGAGGAAGTTCTACCTCTTTCCTCTCCACTGCATGGACACAAAGGGAAGAAGACTTCTGCAGTTTCATGGTGTACTATTACTTCATTAGGTATTTCTTTTAGTCCTTACTGCTGTATATTGGAGGGGTTTTGAATATTTTAGAGACACAAGGAATAATTTCTTTATGCCATGAGTTGTTTGATAAGTTTTTCTCAAATCTGTTGGCTCACTACAACCTAAAAATCCTAAGAAATATATACAGAAAGATCTGTGTGAAGTAGTATAATTATTTCAAGGAGCTTGACAGTCTTAGGGCCAATAGATTTATTATTGTTTAAGCTTGATACACAAATCTGATTCTGAGACCTGTTCCTTACATGAATGCTCTCTATGCTCCTGACTACTTATGTTGACTTCCATGGGACTATTTTTTATGTTAGATTTATAGAGCTGAACTTTAATAGGTAGCAATCTGTCCTTATTACAGTGGGGAGAAACAGGTGAAATACTAAGTTGTGTGAGTGCAGAATCTGGACCAATTCATACAGGGAGCAAAGAAAGTTATTTTTCTTTTTAAACAAACAAACCAATATAGGCACACTATTTGGAGGGAGTTTCTTTTTTGTTTCTAATTTTCAGTCTGTTTGACCTTTGAAAGGACACATAAGGATGTGGTTCAGAGGTGTGCTGCCTACAAGCTCAGCTCCTTGTTGTGTCTGTGCAGCTCAGAAAAGTGAAAACAATGAAACAGACACTTTTGAGTTCCCAGTGAGAAGAAAGGAAACTTGGCAGCCTTTTCTTGCTTTATTGTTAAATATCTCTATTTAAATGCAAATGATCATCTGACACTGCCAAACAAAGTCATGTACCAGGAAGCAAGCATGCAAGTTAAAAAAAAAAAAAAAAAAAAATTAAAATTATTTTTGAAGATGCTGGATTGCTTTTATTTCCAGGAGGGGTAGAGGTGCCTGAATACATTTTTTGGTTATGTACTGAAGATCAACTCAGCAGCTAGGTGTTTCAAATATGAAGGTTTTTAAGTGTAGCTTTTGCAGAACTGTGGGTGGACTTTCTAGTTAGAGATCACTTGGAGGGAGGCTTGAAGTTCCTTCTGAGTTATCTCACTGCACCTACTGCAGTGGAAAGCCCAGTGCATACAGTATGTTTTGGAAGGGGGTAGAATCCTGGGAGAAAAAAAGGAAGAAGTAGCTGAACTGCTGCCTTATCCTGCCCCAGGAATATGTGGTTACAAGTGACATGTGTGGTGCTTTATACTGCTTCTAGCTGCAAGACTTCTGACTTTTTCCCTAAATTCCAGACCCCTTAAGCTAGACAGGCATGAGATTTAACCACAAGGAACGACCAGGCATAAAATAGTGCCTTGCAAGAGGAGGCTCTGTTGTCTGTGGTTCCTCCTGAGCTGTACCCAGCAAAGGTGCTCCAGCTCAGGTGAGAAGCAAGCAATGCAAGTGGTAGAGAGGTTATCTGCACACACATCCAGGGCCATACCCTGTCTCCTTCCCACTTCTCTTAGTCAGGGACAGCCAGATTTTAAAACCTACTTTGTGGGGATAATTTTTATTCAGTTGAGCAAGCACCAAAATCAACAAACAAATTGTATCTTATCAAGATTCCTCTGTTAAAATTCTTCCTTTAATTTGCTGTTTACCTCACCTTCTTTTTAAACTCCCATTCTTATAAATCAATATGGATGTATTTGCTTTCTGCACAGGGTTCCAGTAGTCTCTTAATAATCATAATAATCGTTATTACTGATTAAAGTTGCATTATTCATACCAGATGGAGTCCCCTCCCTGTCAGCCAGAATGAGTTTGCATTATGTAGTTGTAGTACATTTGTGGTCTGAATAAACAGATGGCAGAACGTGACAGCAAATTATGTGCTGGTGATGTCAGCAACAATGCTTCCCGGGTATAATTGCTTTAAACAAACATGAATACAGCAAGGAGCTGGTAGTTTTAACAAGGTAGTTGGCATACAGTGTAGTAATTACCAATGCCGGTGAATGCTCTCCGGGTGCGGAGGGGAGGAAGCCGAGACAGAAAGTCCAACTTCACCTGACTATCATAGTGGGTTTGCTCAGCTGTGTAACATCCTGTAGGAGCAATGCTCTCTTCTGAGGTGATCCAACTTTAGCTGAGAGACATTTTGCAGTTTATCTGACTCTAGCTCCCATAGGGGTGTGTGGGAAGGATTTGATTTAGTGTAATGGAGCAGTGTTAACAGCAGCTGCTGTTAATACCGGGTGGAAAGGTAAGCTTCTGGATCAGGTTCCAAGGGGAAATTCATCTAATAGAATCTCCACAGCATTTAATGATGAATAAACATTTAATCAAGGCAAGCTTAGGTTCCTGTGGTCAAAAGTGCAGCAATAAGAACTGTGCATAGTCTTCAACAGTGCTTATGTCGGGTTTCTCAGTTCACCCCATCAGGTCTGGCAGGTTGCAGAGGGCTTGACTGCCGGCACCTTGGGCCCTGCAAGCCTCGGCTTAGCAGCTGGGGCACAGGGTCCAGCAAGGCAGGTCCTCCACGTGTGCTCTGGGAGCCTTGGGCTTTCAGGGGGGAGAAGCTCTAACAGCAGGAGTGTCACTAAGCTCTGGCCAGATCTGGATGGGAGCTGCGGAATGAGGTCTCCTTTCGCATTTCTAATCTCTCTCTTCCTGTTTGTCCTGCAGGTGGTCGATGCCACAAGTCCTGCACAGGCCGATGCTGGGGACCCACAGAGAATCACTGCCAGACCTGTGAGTATGCAAGACTCTGAGAAACAAAGGACTGAAAGATTATGTAACAGGGATCCTACCTTTTTTTTTAATTGTGAAGAGATACTATAAATTCTGGTTTTAGTATAAATCTAAAATATTTGAAATTTTTTCCCATAACTTTTTCCTAACAGATAATATCCTTTTTTTTTTTCTGCGCATATGAATTCATTTTCCTTTCCTCCCTTGTGCTTTCTAAAAACACTTAAGCTAAGTTGAATTTCTTCTTTTCACTTCTTGGTGGCAACATGGAGCATGGCTCCTGAGAGTATTGATGGTTATTTTGGAATCCACTGAAATGAATACTGCAGGAACAGAAGAAACTACAAGGCACATTTGGAGACCTTTAATGACGGTCCAATGCTGCAAAGTTCCTAATGCCAAAACACTCTGCTAATTTCAGTGAGAGCCGAGGAGTATTAGTTAACTTGCAGAATTGTTCTCTTTCTAATAACTCCAGAATGTATTTGAGCTGTACTGAAAGAGCGAACAATAGGGTTTTTGTGAAGGAAGTAGTAAGTGAAGGATTGTTCACAATGTCTGTCTGTCCTCTTGAATTTAGAGAGCATTAAAATGAATAAAAAAGAGCTATATTGAGAGAGTTTCTCCTCGTGTGCTTTCAGCTCCTTTAGATAGGTACTGAAGAGCTAGAAGTGCAGTCACAATATTAGCAAATATAAAAGCGGAGGAAAATGAGAGCTGTCTTTTCTTACAAGTTTTTTCTTTCCACCCCCTTTACCAGAACGGAGCTATCCTTTACATTGCCTTCCTTTGACATTTAGGAGGATGGAAAGCGGTTGCGTTTACTGGAGTCGTTCTTCCTAGGAAATGAAATGAAATAGTTGCTGCTATCTCCCCCAGAGAGCACTGCTCTGGCTTGTGCTTCTTTCCTTGGCTGAGTTGTAGATAGGAGGAAGGAATTGTGACAAATTAACTGCTATCAAGTGAGCATGCCAACTAGCTCTCTCACCTGGTGATAGCCCAATGTCATCTGCCCTTTTTGTTGGAAATATTAGGAGCTATGTAACTACACTGCCTTTTTTTTTTTTTTTTTTTTTTTTGAGTACTTGGAGAAAGAGCTAAGAGGGAATTAGAAATGGCAGACAGCTTAACGTGAGCATTTTGCAAGTGAGAATGAGCAGGGAGCCCAAGCTGACCTGTTGTCTGTGGCAGAGCTGGGGGCAGAGGCGACAGTGCTGTGTGCCTGCAGAGGCTCTGCCGCCCTGCTGGTGCTGCTTCTCGCTCAGGAGCATCAGCTCGTGTTCCCAGCAAAGGCAATGACAGTTACAGCTCTGCTGACGTTAACGTGCTCTTGTATTACTGCTTCACACTGAGCTTTAGTTGCGGGTGTGATTAAGAACACTTGAGGACAGGTTGTAGGAATAACTGTAACAAATGAGGTACAGTGATGCTAAGCAGATGATTCTTTGTCTGAATCCAGCTAGTACATCTCCTTCCGTTGCTGGCAAACTTTATGAAAGCCTCAAAGAAGCCAGTGCTCAGAAAGCCTCCTTAAATCAAGATTATGTGTTGAAGTAGATAATGGAAAGGGAATTAAATCCCAGCTGACCAAATTCTTTTATCATGGTTAGGTTAGAATTAATTAATTCTGGTTCTTTCTCTGCCCTGATGAGAGGCCTGTTTGTCTCTTAAAACTGGTAATTCTGTAAGGATTTGGGTAATTCATCCACGTATGAGTGTAGACATATTCAGGCCTTACGTGGTTAGCTTACCCAAGAATACTGTAAAGCCTTGGCAGTTGTATTCAGTAAGGATGGTACGATCCTGGCTCAGGCCCGGGCTCCAGCAGGCAGAGGCTCCAACTTTAGCCAAAGTTGGGAAGTCCAACGGGACTCTGTGTGGCTGCAGAAGTCCGTGTGGCAGGGTCAGCTCCTACAGTCTCAACCTCTACAAAGCACTACTCTCAGATAAGTGAACTGATTTGGAGGATTAATGTAGTATTACCAGAGAGGGCAAAACTTATCTGCAGTGTTTAGGAGTCAGAAGCTTAGCCGAGCTGCACGGCAGATTTGCTCCAGGAGTGACAGCTATCTTTTTCTTCTCAGTGACTGCCCTCTCAAATCCAAACAGTGGGGACAGGTTAAGGCAACACCATGGATTTAAAATAATAAACTATGGGAAGACATATGGCATCTAGGTTCCAGGGAGATACACAGATCAGACATTTCTAATTTGAAATAGCTACGCCATGGCCTTTTACCTTCTAGCACACTCTGCAGCCTGTGATTGTCAGGGACAGGAGTTAATTTTATATCATATACTTCCTCTTCGCCTTCCTGACCTCGCTGCACCTTGGCTGAACATCAGGAATTAAGGAAAAGACTGTTAGGCTGGCCATGGCCATTTCTCTGTTGCACTTTCTCAAAATGTGTTTTGCTGCAAACTGAAGCAAAGAGTATGAGACTCAAAGCACAAAACTAGATGGTGCTATGCTTTTTCTGCCTTCATTTCTGACTTTAAAAAACACAGCTGACTTTCAAGCTCATAAACGTTACTCTTAGATACAAGCTGGAGATAGGATTAATGGTATCTCAAATGCAGCATACACCTTAACCTAGTCACCTTGGGGATGCATAGCTTTCAAATGTGGGTAGGAAAACATGCCAGCAGTACTACATCCCACTGTCAAACTATTTTGTTCCTACAAAAGTCTCAGATATATGTTTGCATTTTAATAATTTCCTTCTTTTTTTTTTATGGAGTCACTGAAGCAAAAAATTCTAATGAGCCCCCCTCCCAAGATAAGATTTAAATTATTTTCCTGGGAAAGGACAAAAAATGAAAGATCTTAATCCATGTCTTTCATTTCAATTTACATATGGAAAAAGCTCAAAATCCTTTTGGGTTTTTTTTGCATGAATATCATCCACCTAGCTTCTTCTTATGTTGCCTTCCAGCAATGTCTCTCTGTACTTCTAACTCTGTCTGAAACACCACCTGCATCTAACTCTGCCCTAATGTCTCTCTAAATGTGACAAGGAAATGACAGTTAATAGGTTATTTAAAATAAGCTGTTCTATTAGGAGGTGGAGAAGATGTAATTTCAGAGTACTGTTTTATGCAGATAACAACCCATTTTTATCTTATAATTAAAATATTAGTAAATATTAATATTAAACATTTAAAAGTGAGATGATATTCTTCATTGCGGTGTTAGGAAGAGCTAATGTGAAAATACTTCTAAGAAGAATCTGTTTTTTGAAGAGTGTTGTGCACCCACTGAATAGAAAGTAAAATACTTTAAATAACAACCACAAGAAGAAACACTTTTGGAAGTTACTAATTAAATTTAATGTTAGGTTGTTACTGTTTTTTGCTGTTAAGAATTCAGATTTTATTTTACTTTTCATATAAAAATAAATGGAAACTTTTACAAACTGAATACATTATTTTATTAAAATGACAGTTATGCACTTTGTCCTAGAGGAATGTAACAAAGACAAAACAGAAAAGTCTAAATTAAAATATAGGCCCAACTGAGGGAATGCAAAAAAGGCAAATAGCCTTTAAATCTAACCCAAAACATAAACATTCAGTAAATATCAAATGCTCCATGACCGTGTATGTATTTGGGAGTTTGGCCTGAGTGTAATTGTATTTATACAGCTTTTGTACAGCTGATGTTGCAGAGAAAGAGAAGGTGCTGCTGCAGTAAGTGCCCAATTAGAGCAGCAAAAGGCAAGTGGGAGCCTGCTGGAGGAGACAGAAAGAGCTGAATCAGCAGCTTAGATCAGTCAAGGTAACCCAGCATTTCTGCTTGGAACCAGCATCTTTAATTAAAACCCTTGTATTTCTCTAATAACTTTGCATGTTCATAAGACTTTTTCATTGATTTGTTACTTCCCCTTTTTTCCTTCGTAGATTTATAGTGCCCTGACATAATTAAAGATTAGGGGAAACAATAAGAGAGACTGATGAATTGCACACATATATGAAGTGCCCATTCTGCCCCGACCCCAGCACAGGTTATGGCTGTATCACAGTGAAACACTAGCAAACATTGTCAGTCAATGTTCTGCACTCCCCCAGAAACACATCCCAACACGTGGCATGTTTTTTAAAGACCTTGGTGTTTGCCACTGTCCTTTGCCCTCCCTGCCCTGACTGTGACGGTTCTGTGAAGCCAAACCCTCAGATTTCTTGGGATCCCACAAAGGGTCAGTAGGCACCAGGGTGGGTAGTTGTGATGACCCTTAGAAAGTCTGGTTTGAACGCTGGGGCCTCAGATGTTGTATTACTGAAAGTTTTCCTCACAGTTAAGTTGGTTGAAGAAACCAGTATCTGGCACCTAAATTCCTCTGGGGTCCCAACCTAGAACTCCTGGATCTCATGTGTGTGTCCGGGCTTCAAGAATGATGTGATGTGATGTGTTCACAGCTCCCCTGTGAACAGCCTCCACAGGTAGCAGGAAGATGAGGTCACTGTTGCTCAGTTTTTCTCTCTCAGCTTGCAACAGGGTTGCTCTCAGTTGACACTGCCTATTTGCAGCTGCTCCCCAGTTCCCTGCTGTCTGTCCCTGCTCTCTCCTTGGCAATATCTTGAGCCACATATCTTCCTTAGGAGCCACCCACCAACGTTCATCACCCTGAACATACAGTTTTATATCTTGGGTAATATTTAACCATACATTTCACTCTTTCAGATAGGTCTTTACTCACACCTGTACAATCAACTGGTATTTGGAGGAGAGTTTATTTGGAAAAAGCATGCTGTGTTTTTAAACCAGTACAGCTATGTGTATCTTCTCTAGGGTTACCCCCGATAACAATTGTGGGAAGCTGAACTGTTGTGTTTACTGGAGCCTGAACAATCAGATTGTTTCAGGGCTTCAAACAATGCATTGTGTTGCCTTGTGTTTGGTTTGCTTCAAGGAAAACCCTTCATTGCAAACTTCCTTGAATAGAAGTCCTTAAAATTTTTTTCTGTCTTGGTGTGTGTGGTGTCACTGAAGATACCTGACAGGTCCTCCTTGGAGCTGAGCCCTCAAGAGCAGTTATAATGCAAATACAGCATGCAGTGAACCAGAAGATAAATAGGATATGTTGTGGCCTTTTCCTAGAATTAAATGTTGGCATTTCTGTTGGCATTGTTTGCTTTCCCAGCAAAATAAACAATTAGGGAAGAACAGTGACAGACTTTTGCTGTAAGTGTAAATTTCACAAACCACTTTATAACTTCCGAGTCTTCAGGAAAACTCCAAATGTTGCCTATCCTGAACAGCACTGTAGGGGCCCCCATTAAGCTGGTCACTAATGATAAGCGGAGTCTGCTCGTGGAAGGTGTTCTGTTTAAGGATTGTGCTGAAAAGGGGGTCAACCCTGGTGCTGGGGTGCTCCTGCTTTTTTCAAAAAAGAAACATACTCTGGAGTAAATTGTTCTAATCTCTTAAAAAGTTAGGGAATTTAAAAAAGAAGACCATGCCTTTTTTAAATGTGCAGGTGGGTGGTCAGTGGGGTTTGTGGTCACAGATGCCAGGCACAGGAGAGGCCAGACCCTCCTGCCCTTGAGGCAGCGGATTCACCTCCTCAGGGCTCGTTTTGGGGAAGGCAGCAGTGGAGGATTCCCAGTATTGCAGCTGGTCATATGGGATGTGCTCCTGCGCCTCTTTGTTCTTTTAAAAGTCTGCCAGGAAGCCTCCTTCATGGGGAAGCATTCATTATATAGTCATGGCAGACATCTTGACCTGCTCTCAACAGCAGCCAGCACTGGGGTAAATAAATTGTAACTGAAGGAATTAGGTGGCTTGTACTAATTGTCTACACAAAGATGCGTTACACCAAAACTTCCCATATTGAAGCAAATTTTTCTGTTCTGTGGAGCTACAGCAAGGAACACGTAACAGGGTCATGCCGGTGAGTGAACGTGGCATGCCATGATGTCCTCTTCTCTTTCCCTAACAGA